GTTTTATAATTTTTGCTACAAGGGCGTATTTTTGAAACTTTAAAATTAATTTCTCTAAGGACCAATAAATAATCATTACATGTATTAAACATTTAAATATCATAATACAGAATCAATTTTATACATATTAAACACCATAACTTAGTGTTTAGCTAGTTTGATTATCAATATTTCCTAACCAGAGACTTGTTATTAGACCTTCTTTTGTATGCTTGTTTAGCCTAAGAACTAAAGGAGTACACATCATTTTATTAGCTTCTTTGAGCTTTTATATTACTTTTATATTATAGTCCCAAAGAACTGCTCCATTTGAGCCTGGTGCCCTCTTCCTCTGGTCCTATGTCCTTCCACCCTTCCTCAAATTTCTTCCTTTCAGCTAGTGTCCTGACTTAGGGGTTTAGTGCTTTCTCCCTCTGAAATCAGCCTCCACATTCTACTTGAACTATACTGTTTTGTTCTATTTGTGATTTAAGTCAGGTTGGCATGGCTTGAAGGTTATTTAATAATCTCTCTGGAAACTTGACCTTAAAGTAAAAAGAAAAAAAAAATCAAACCTTATTTTTCTTGCAGAGTGAAACCAAAAGGACTTTCCCCCAGGAATCCACAGGAATCCAAATAAACTCACTCTCTCTTTTTTTTTTCTTCTCTTATTTTAATTTCCTTGGAGCCCCCCCACCCACCCACCCACACACACAAATCACCACTTCAATCAACCTTGCCTGGGCCACTGAAATCATATACTGAACTTCATGTTGACTCCGATAGCCCAAACTCCATAGTACTTACCTTATAAGAAGCTGCTTGGCCTTCTCTTCACTGAACACAATCTCTGAGATATGAATTTGGTGTAAGGAAAAATTTGAAAGTTCTCTCTCATTCCCTGTTGGAATTTATATATATAAAAAAGAGATAACTGGGCAAGTATACTGGAAATATACATGAGAATATTTATCGCAGTTTTGTCTATAATAAAGACAACTAGTGAGAATATATGTATCCAGTTTAGGCTTAGCAACCATTAAAGGAATTAAATGTTTACTAAAGGAAATGAAAAGATGGCTGTGAAATATTAAGTGGAAAATGTAGGGTAGTAAAAAATATTGGGATTTTATACCAATAAGCTGATGATGGTTATTCTGGGTAATACAATTTTAGATCTACATTGTCCACAATTTACTGTTGTTTAATGGCTATTCGGTTTTATATATAAATTAATTAAGATTAAATAAAATACCAGATTCAGTCCTTACTTGCACTCGTCATATTAAGTACCCCAAAGCCATATGTGTCTGGTGGCTACTGTGTTGGAAAGCACAGATAGGGAACATTTCCATCACTGAGAAAGCTATATTGGACAGAATTGTTTAAGATAATGTATGTTTCTAGTTTGCTCTTGATTTTTGTAATTACTTCTATAATTGAAACAGCAATGAAACTACTTATTCCTGGGGGAAGTTTCTTTGCTCTCAAAATGAATTTAGACTGAAGGAAAACCATATCATGATCTACTGTATCTAATTAATATGCATCATAATTGATCCTCTATACCAAAGTTGTTGAACTTTTTCTTTTTTAATGAAGTGCTTCCCAGAAATTTACTCACTCTAGCTATTTAAAATCTTGGAATTATTCAGTTATTCAAAATATACTTTACTATAGTCTCATTGGGAACAACAGTTCAATCAGAAATAGGAAGAAAATTACTTACTTGATGCTATAGTTTGTATCTCAAATGTGCTCTCAAAGTCTCATGTGGTAGAGCCTTAGTTTCCAGCTTCGCATCACTGGGAAATGGAAGAAATTTGAAGAGGTGGAACCTAGAGGGAGATCTTCTGGTCACTGGGGGCATGTCCTTGAGAGGGAACTAGAGACACTTCCATCACAGGCCCAAAAGCAAAAAGGCCAATATATCATGGATTGGAACCTCCAAAATTGTGAGTCAGAATAAATCTTCTCACTTCATATGAAAAGCTAACACATTTGGCAACCAATTTTTGGCTGTATTCATTTTATATTTCTGTACTGTAAAGAGTGGTCAATGGCAAAGGAAATAGTAGTAGAACCCATGTTTTAGGTATTTTAGGAGATTAACCAAACTTTAAAAACTAATACCAGAGGCTAAAATATTGGCAGTCTATTGGGTACACTACAGATTTTGTTTTTCTTTCTTTCATCCCTCTATCTACAGTGGTCTCCTATTCATCTGAGATCTTTATTTTCTGCAAATTTTAGTAACCCATCCATTAAATGGAAAATCCAGGAAATACAACAATTTATAAGTTTTATTTATTTTGTTCTGTTTTGTTTATAGACAGGGTTTGCTGTTTTTGCCCAGACTGGCCTCAAACCAGTAATTCTCCTGCCTCAGCCTCCTGAGTATCTGGAATTGCAGATATGTGCCCCCATGCTCAGCTAATTCATGTATTTTATATTGCATGTCATTCTGAGCAACATGAACCCTTGAATTGTCATGCTTAGCCTGTCCGGCAGGGGACCCAACCCTTTGTCCAGTGTATCTGTGATGTTCACCAATCCGTTAATCACTTGGTAGCCATCTCAATTACCAAACTGGAGCATCACAATGCTTGTTTTCAAGTAACCCATATTTTTTTTACTTAATAATGATCACAAAATGATAGTGATTGATGCTAGCAACTCAGATTTCAAAGAGAAGCTCCAAAGTGCTTCCTTTAAGTGACACTTCACATATTTTGTGCAATCGGTGTTAGAGAAATTAGTTGAATCCTCTAAAGCAATTACTCTACAAGACAATACTCATCTGCTTCCTGGATGTTTGCTTTTGTGGTTGTTGTTGTTTCAACCCACTGCTGCTCTTCAAAAGTTATGATTTTATTGGTCATAGTTTATTCTGCACCCATGCAAATATCAAGAAGCATGGAACTTCTTGCATAATACACTTATGTGAACAAGGAATATTCCCATAGGTAAAAAAATATTAAATCTATTAAAATACTTTAAGTGGTACCATGTAGAACATCTTGGATATTTCCAGTTCTCTTTATTTTTGTTTCTTGGGTGGTTGAAAAAGCCCAAGCTGTTTTGTTTTATAAACAACTCCTATACTACTATGGGCATAATATTAGTTGAAGATTATTTCAGATTGCACTGTGTAAAGATTTCTTACAAATGCAATATGATCAGGGTGTTGGAAAACCCTCAGAGGATTGAAAACCCTATCTTTCTGAGGGCAGTCTTTAGTTAGTATTTTGGAGAATATTATCTCTAATAGAAATCAAAGCATTTTTTTAATATTTCAGAGAAACTCCAAGCAAACTGATATGGTCATCCTCATTTCAGAAGAGAAAAACAAACAAACAAACAGAACCCCAAATCCTGAGGCAGAGTAGTAAGTGATTTATGCCAAGCCCCAGCACAGGATGGTTGAGGAAAGAGTGTTCTGCAGTTACAAGCTTTTGGTTTTCAAACTTGGTAGGCTCTGCTGCCCCCTCTAAAACTGAACAAGGGAAAGAGGCTGGCTGTAAACTTCGGAGTCTGAGGGAAGAATCTCAAGGAAACAGACCTTGCAGCTTTGTTGATTTCCTGTCCTGTCTATACTGTTTGGCTCCTACGCACAAACTCAGTCCTGTCAGCTTTAGCTGAGCACTTGGAAACCAGACATAGGCTCACATCTCATCGTGGCTCCAGTGGCTTGGGTCTGAAAGGAGTCAAGAGGAAAGGATCCGGAAATCAGCTAACTAGAGAAAGATACTGATTTTTATTTGAGATCAACTGCTTTCCTTTCTTTTCCTGTTCCAGCTTTTTGCAGAGCGCACCTTCCAAGCTTTCAATCTGAATCTGCACTACTCAACTTTGAAACAGTCCGCAGACACCTGTTAAGGGAATTGCGGATCCTGGGCAGCAAGGATCTGAACTTTGCTTTTCCTTGGTGCTGGAGCGCAGCGACCACCCAGTTATAGGAACGCCAGCGCCCTGCTTTCAAGCCAAGGGCCAGCGTGCGGAGGATTTGTCCTCGGTGCAATCGAACTGCGCTTTTCCCCGGTTGTGCACCGGTGCAGCTCTCCACTTTTGCTCCTACACGCGAAAATAGGAAGCAACCCCGATTAGGGAGTCTTGGGATTTTCTCAGCTTCGCAAAGGTGCGAAGATTGTCTCTCCCGCCCGCCTCCCTCCTGCCCGCGGTCTCTGCTCGCCCTCCGCGCAGGGGACCACAGCTCCCTGGGCTGCAGCTGAGTGTCTCCGCCACGCCTTTGCCTTTGCTTTTTCCCTGCGAATCTGGTGAGCCCGGGCTCCAGACCAGTGTATGTCCTCTTGGAGCCGTCTCTAGCGGAATTGGGGGCGGAGAGTAAAAGGAGGGGTTCGTGGAAGTGAAAGAAGGTAGGCGTGGTGCAAACGCCCAGAGGATCAAACTTGGGGGTGTTCAGGGGAGTAAGAGTGGCAGCTGCAGGTAGTAGTAGGACCTGCTATGGGGCGCCTCGCTGAGTAAGGTTGGCAGCTGCGTTGCGCGGTCTCCCTAGACCAGGACGCAACCAAGAAAAAGCGAACCTCGCCCCCAGTTCCCTGGCCACGGAAACTTCCTATCCAGCTCCCTCCGCTGCAGGGCCATCTCAGCCTCCGAACCTGTTTCTTTTTCTTCAAGGGAGCAGTTCGCCTCTCCCGCCCCCAATCCTACCTCCACCCCCTCCCCCTGCCGCCCCATCCTCTACGCCCACCCGAGACTGTGCAGCGCAGTGCGGTGCCCAAGCGCCCACGGCAGAGACAGCAGCCAGGCTTCAGGGAGCTCCAGCTGCTCCCGCTGCTCGCCCGCGCAGTCCACTGCCCAGGACCGTCGGAGCAAACACAACTGGGTCAGCTTTGGAGGCCTCCCAGGGCCCTCTCCGGATAATCATCGGACTGACTGGCTGCACACTTCTTGTTTTACAGTCTCAGCAGAAACGCGAGGGCCAGGTCAGTAAGTCCAACCTCTGATTCCCCTTCTGGGAACTTGAACATCCCCAAAGAAGCCCAGGGTCCTAAGAAATAGGCACTGGGGTGGTGTTTCCAAGCGTAACCCCCCACTTCCCAGCCACATTTAGGTGGGTAGTGGGGATGGGGGAGTTTTTGCCGTTCTCCTTTTCTCCTTGTGCTAGAATTTTCCTTTCCTGAAGATTCTTGACTTTTTCCTTGTGCCTTCTTAGAAATAGGCAGGTTGTTCCTGTTTACCTTCTCTTTAAAAATCAAACGCCTGCCTAAAGTGCAAGATCATATTGGATTCTCCAAAGCTGATCAAGAATACATTTATTTAAGCATTCACTCATTTTTTTTTCTTTTTAAAAAAAAAACCAGGGCTCACTCACCAGTAGGAACATATGGTGAAGGGAAAGGAGGTGAGATGAAAAGCTTTAAAGATGTTTCTCAATAGGAACATATTATTTAAAAACCTAGGAACATGAAACAGAAAACGCTGATTTCACGTAAAGGTCAGGAGCTCAAACATGTGAAAGAGACACAATCCCAGATTCATTGGTTTATATACTTAATGTTGGACTTAGACACACAGTCGTGCCTTGCATGTATCATTCTGGAAAGTTTCTTCTCTCCACATCCCGGAATTAACAATTGAAGGCAACCTAAGGTCTGTGGCATGATTTCTGAGATTTTTCTCTAAGAAAAGATTACTGTACGATGCTGTGCTTGGTAAGATGACAGGCTTCACTAAGGCCAACCTGGAACAATAATGTTTCAGAAAGAACTGTTGCAAAAATCCCATAGATATAAGTATGTAGTCAAAAAGAAGGCTTACAGGGCAGGGGTTGTGTCTCAGTGGTAGAGCATTTGCCTAGTATGTGTGAGGCACTGGGTTTGATTCTCAGCACCACATATAAATAAATAAATAAAAGTCTATCAACAACCAAAAAATATTATTTTTTTTTAAAAAAGAAGGCTCTCAGACTCATTATAAGTTGCTTTGAATCTCAGGGGGGAGACACATAGGAAAAAAGAAAGAAAGAAAGAAACCCCAAACCTCAAACCTTATTTCCTATTCTACAAAGAAATGTTTTAATAGCAAAATAACTAAACACTCACTTGTTCAAGAAAACTGTGCCATTCACAAGTTCTCCTTAAATTTCTTGAATACTGTGAATGCCTTATTTTGCCTTATTTCAAGAAAATATTTCTTCTTTGTCTGTGTTTCTTGTAATTTTTGTACATTTTGAGTTTCTATGGGCAACTTCCTTTGTGTACTTTCTTTTCCTCTTCTACTTTTCCAGAAGTGCTACTGAGAAGTGACAGATTCTCTGCTCTGGGTAATGTTTTGAACTGGCTGAAAGCCAGTAGTGTGCTTACAAGCATCTAATCATGTCCATATGCTAATAGCTTATAGATCAATAACCATTCCTGCAGAGAAGGTGTAAATAAGAGGGCTTTGAAATAAATAAAATAAGACTGAAAAGAAAGAGCAAACTAAGTCAATGAATCAAATACACCCCCCCCTTCTTAATGTCCTTCGATTTCATGCTTACTCTCAATTTAGTCTGCTAAAATCTCCAAACTGACTTCTCGAGTCTCGTTAATTCTGTTAATGAGTTGTCTGGATTGACTAATTGTGTTCTGTAGAGTCAGTTCTTACTCTAAAGGAAATGGTGGAACCTATCAAATGCATGCTCCATGATCTGAATGTCTTGTTTCCATTCTTTCTATTTACTAGAGAAGGGAAGCAAAGGGGAAAGAAAACCTGGTCTACTTGGAATATTCTGTTTGAAATTTATGCAGAGGGAACTAGAATCTAAGTCAATATAGCAAATACACAAGTTCATGGAAACTCCTTACTACTCCTCTGGGTAGTAAGGGTACTATGAAGGGGGATGGCCTAAAATAAACAGAGAAGAGAGAGGAGAGAGGAGACAAAGAGAGAGAGAACCCAAGAGAAATGGAGAGAGAGAGACACACACACACATATTGGAGAAGTTTCTTTGTGGTGTATACTGACAATTTAAATGATTACAATCAAGAATTGACCTAGAGTTTCTTTGGATAATTTTCGTGTAGAAGCAGTTATCTGATTAAATAGGACAAAACAGGCATAAGGATGGCATATCATGGCAAGAAATCCTGTATAGTTAATTATATCCATAGGAAAGGATCAACATTACACTTTTTAATTAAATAGCTGATGTTGATTATGCTTTCCTTTAGTTTCATATTTGTTTTGCCAAATTATTGAGTGTCTGGAGTGTCTTGCTTGGTGCTCAGGATTAAATAACATATGAAAAAGATCTAGCTTCTCCTGCGTGTGAAAAGATTGCTGTGGTGGGGTGAACAAAAGAGAATCATCAGAGTGTGGCCTGTGCAGTCTTACAAGTGTTGGGATAACTGAGAGGCTTCCTGTATGGCACAGACAGCAGAGGGAGGTCTGAGAGAGCCCAAGTGATGCTGGAATTGGGAGCAGTTCATTGTGACAGAGTATACATTGGGATGTCAAGATGAGGCCAAAGGAGTAGGCAAGGAGGGCATCAAGATGTGAATGTCATACTGAGGATTGGATTCCCCTGCATAGGCCAGTGTTATCATTATGTGTGGGTGCAGACCCTTTAGTGGGAGAGAAAATTAAAGTAGGCATGTTATCAGCAGACCATATAAAATCAAATCTCTTTCAAAATGTGAAAGAGAGAATCAAATGCAGATAAGTGGTTACACAGGTGATGGAAGCCAGATAGGGGATGTTGGGGCTACTCAGGGATTAGCAACAGCAGGGGATTTATCACCACCGACTGGCTGGAGAGACATGCAGAAGAGGCAGTGTGGCAGAGGCCAGGAACCAGGACCATCCACTGCAAGCAGGATCACAGAGGGTTTGTATTATAGACGTCAGAGCCAAGGAGCTGGTGCAGAGGTGCTGCTCAGAACAGAGAGGGAGGGGAAAGGAGGCAGAGGCTTCCTCCTTCCTCCTGCTGCTAATTACCTGCCAGTTCCTCCTATTAACTTTCCAGAGCCAGAATCCCAGACTCCTGATGAATGGGGACCCTGCAAATGTCTCTATGAGACTCAACCCTCTTGTGGTGTGGAATAGAACAGAGTAGGAAATGGTGGAAGATGCAGCTGAGGCACACAGGTGAAGATATTTTTAACTTTAGGTGATTTCATTAATGGGAAGACCATAGACTGGAGTAGGTCACACAGAAGGGAAATAAACAGGGACTGGGAGGTGGCAAAAGGGAAGGAAAAGTGCTAAAACTTTTTATTTGGGGTTTTAGGGGGATGGAGCTCAGACTTGAGCATACTTCTCAGGTAGTATCTGTGCAGGATTCTACTGTGTTACATGGGAAGATTATTTGTCATCCACTACACTAGAAAAAATGGTTATGAAGCCAAATCCCATCATTGTGCCTTATTTTCTATTCCCACAATTCAGGGATCAGGGATGGGTTTTCATATTTGTCCCTTCCTTATACAATTTTTTTTTTGCTGTATATTGAAGAATTTCAAACAGTGAAAGTAGTGAAAGAAACTTTATTTTCTTTAAAATTAATTGGGTGAATTTGTAGCAGCTATAACATCAGTCAAGTTCATAATGTTCATCCCACTGAAAATGAATGGGATCCATTAGGTAGCATCCATACTGGAACTTTTTCTCACTATAGAAAAATATTATATTCCCATCCTTGGATAGATTTTTTAGGACCTGATTTAATTGATCCATTATCTTTTTTGCATAGACTTAATAAAGGACCTGCTTTATCAAGATGCTATACTAGATGCGATTTTAGAAATAAGAAGGACGGATATATTGAGCCTCAGCCAAATTGAAACAGTCCCTTTGGGATCTATTTTACAATACCTTTGCAATTTCCACGTTTCATATTTGTTCTGTTTTTCTTTTTCTCCCTTAATTGTAGATCTAGTTGCAGGCCAAGTGCAACAGTGCTAAAAATGGGACCAGTGGGTGCCGAGTCTGACGAGAACCAGACAGTGGAAGAAACCAAGGTGGAGCAGTATGGGGCAGGGCACACCACTCCGAGGGGTGAGCTGGCCCCTGACCCTGAGCCAGAGCTCATAGACAGCACCAAGCTGGTTGAGGTACGTGTTGTCCTCATACTGGCCTACTGCTCCATCATCTTGCTTGGGGTAGTTGGCAACTCTTTGGTGATCCACGTGGTGATCAAATTCAAGAGCATGCGTACAGTAACCAATTTTTTTATTGCCAACCTGGCCGTGGCGGATCTTCTGGTGAACACCTTGTGCCTACCATTCACTCTTACCTATACCTTAATGGGGGAGTGGAAAATGGGTCCTGTCCTGTGTCACCTGGTGCCATATGCCCAGGGCCTGGCAGTTCAGGTGTCCACCATCACCTTGACTGTAATTGCCCTTGACCGTCATCGGTGCATTGTTTACCACCTAGAGAGCAAGATCTCCAAGCGAATCAGCTTCCTGATTATTGGCTTGGCTTGGGGCATCAGTGCCCTCCTGGCAAGTCCCCTGGCCATCTTCCGGGAGTACTCACTGATTGAAATTATTCCAGACTTTGAGATTGTGGCCTGTACTGAGAAATGGCCTGGTGAGGAGAAGAGCATGTATGGCACTATCTATAGTCTTTCCACTTTGTTGATTCTGTATGTTTTGCCTCTGGGCATCATCTCTTTTTCCTATACTCGTATTTGGAGTAAACTCAAGAACCACGTCAGCCCTGGAGCTGCAAATGACCACTACCACCAGCGAAGGCAGAAAACCACCAAGATGCTCGTGTGTGTGGTGGTGGTGTTTGCTGTCAGCTGGCTGCCCCTCCACGCCTTCCAACTTGCTGTTGACATCGACCACCATGTGCTGGACCTGAAGGAGTACAAACTCATCTTCACGGTCTTCCACATCATCGCCATGTGCTCCACCTTTGCCAACCCTCTTCTCTATGGCTGGATGAACAGCAACTACAGGAAGGCTTTCCTCTCAGCCTTCCGCTGTGAGCAGAGGTTGGATGCCATTCACTCGGAGGTGTCTGTGACACTCAAATCTAAAAAGAACCTGGAAGTCAAAAAGCACAATGGCCCCAGTGACTCTTTATCTGAGGCTACCAATGTCTAAGGAAACAGGTGTGAAAACTTAGGGATGAATTCTGACCAGAGCTATCAACCTGATTAAGGAAGGCTCACAGGTATGTGCTAGTCTCCCATTTTGAGGACAGAAAAGCATCTTAATGGAAGTATTAGCAGCATAATTCCTGAAAAACTGATAGGGCGAGCCTTGGTGAATTTACTCCGTATTCAAAGGTAGGAACAACAAAATGGTTTCATTACCGCTGCTCAGACGGTAGATTGAATAGAGTCAAAACAGGGAGAAGTGCTTTTGACTCATCTCCCAGATAGAAGGCAAAGTGAACAAGAAATTGACATTAGCAGCATTGCTAAAAGGTGGGAGCAAAATAAGTGAACTCTCAAGTCGCATCAGGACAAGTACTGGGGGTTCTGTTCCGTGTCCTCCCTGCTTCCTCCTCATCTAATGAAAAGTTTCTGAACACGAATTTCTCTAGGGAGCATAGATGCTCCTTTATGGTGTTTGGTTTTATTGTCCTTCTCATATGTGAAATCCAGAAGAGAATGCTATAGGAAAATGTTGCTAACTGAATGACTTCAAGATCGTTTCAAGGGCATAAACTGAAATTTGCTAGACAATTAATATGTGAAGGAAAATTATTAGTACTCAGTGAGCAATTGCTCATACAAGCAAATGCACATTTTGTGAATTATTTTTCAACTCAGAATCAAAGGCTGATATTCTCAGAATTATAAAAAATATGAACCATTATTGAATTTCTCACATCAAGTTTTTCCTGCTTTTGTATAGATACTATTACATAATCAGTAAATAACTTAATTCTCTTAATTATTGCTAATTGTTATAACTTTCAGAATCTGTATGATCTCTGTGATGATTCCTGTGTTGGAACAAATTTGCACTAAAATTAAATCAGATTAGAATATAATTTTTACAACATTTTGCAACATATGACTATTTGTAAGCAACTTTTGCACAGGCACATACATGTTTACAGAACACTGAAGTATTATTTTCTTTGGAATTCATCTTCCATGGACCCATTCAGGATTAAAAAATATATAACTTCGATAAAATTGACTCATCTGGTAAGAAAAACTAAAAGCACTTGATTCATTACACCCTGCAAATGTTTTGTTTCCACCAATTTCTTTTATTTTTTCCTCAAAGTAACTATATATTTATTGTCCAAATGAATATATACATAATAAAATGTACCAATAAATAACGGAACATAGATCCTATAGTAGTTTTTCCTTAATGATTTTATTAATATATTTTTTATTTTAATAGTACCTAACCAAAGATAATTAAAATATTCTATGTTCATGAAAAAGAAGACAGATTTTAAAAATAGTCGCATTTCTCTGGATGCTGTTAAAGAAGTTTCATTGTAGTTATATTTTTGTAAATATGATGGAATTTGTGAACATATTCCTTACATTTCAGACAAATTCAACGTGAGTATTCAGTTGTAAAGCTAATTATATGAGCTGAAGAACTTCATTTTATGGATATACTTAAAATTTATACTACAAATCTTATTAAATTCCTTCTATGCTAGAAATAAAAGATTGGTCCTGAAATGAACTGTACTTTTGGAATACTAATAAGTCAGTAAAAGTAAGACTAGATCAAAGATTAAGAAATTAACAAAAATAATATATATCTGTATTATATCATATAATTGAATAACTCATTTTTCTGTTGGACTTAGCAAAACTATCTAAGGAGAAGCTTTTTGTCTTTTACATAGCTGTTACATTGCTTAAGATGTTAATAGAAGATTGTAGTAAAGGATTTTATTTCCCTTGGAGAGTTCTTACACTGAAAGAAATTTATATGCTTTGATGAGTAAACTGTTAGAATTCAGTTAATGAAGTGATTAACATATGTCTGATTCAATTAACTATGTCAATTCATTAATAAAATATCTTTTATGTAGTGATTTTAATGTTGAAATAAAAGGAATTTGGGAAATTAAAGAACTTGTATGGAATTTGAGTCTAGCTGTCCTGCTATCTGTACTTGAACCTGGGTCAATGGATCCACTCCTGTGACTGCAGTTGTAATCTATGTTCTGAGAATGCTTGAATCTTTGTTTTCAGACAAGATGTTTCTTTTGCATTTCCAACCTGTTTCTCTACTGAGTAATGAAATGTGTGCATGGGTCTCACCAGCAGCTCAAACCCAACCTATGTCAAAAGGACCTGACATTTTAGGGGACCCATCTCACCTTCACCCTGTCCCAATCTTGACTGCTACACACCAGTTCCCAAAGCTTTGAACTTTGTGGTCACCCTTGACTCGTCTGTGCCTTCATCTCACATATCCAATTAACTCCTGTGTTTTGTCCTAATTCCTAAATGTTTCTTGAAGCATTTCACTTTTCTTCGTTCCTATCTTCCAGGCTACCATTGTTTCTCAGACCCTTGTTATTGCAAATTTAGATGATATATTTTCTTGCTAATTGATGCCTCTATACCTTGTCATCTTTTCATACAATCAACTTTGATCTACTAAACAAGTAATTTTTCAAAATTCTATTTTCTGTCTCTCTGCCTCTCTCTCTCTCTATTCTTTTTGTAATACCAGGAATTGAACCAGCAACCTCAGTAATGACCTGCATTTCCAGCTGCTTTTATTCATTTATTTTTGGACAGGGTCTTTATAAATCACTGAGGCTTGCCTTGAACTTAAAATCATCCTCCTGTATTATTGTGATTATTGGTATGTGCCATCATACCAGGTAAAACTCAGCTTTTATCAAACCATTTTTTAATTAAGATTTTTATATATCTTCTCATAATTCTTATAATGAACTCAAAATAGTTTTATGACCTGAGAAGCTGCATAGCACCTGATTATGCCCATGTATCAGGGCAAATTCTCTTTTCTTCCAATCTTTGTTGCTAGATTTTAAGTATCATGAAAGCAGGGGATAGAGACTATCTTAACCCTTCTGGAACTACAGGCACTTACATTTCCTGTCACCAAGTACTCAATAAGTATCTATCAAGAAAACTGAGTTTCTGAAGTAGATATTAAAGCCAAGATAGATTCACAAGGTTGTGACCATATGTATCCCATTTTATCATGTATCTTCTCAGAAAGTAAGGTTTCAACTGAACAAAATCCAGAAAACATCTTTATTTGATCAGGATCATCCATTATTTGATTATTTTTTATTTCATTTTCTCCCTTTTTAAGGCCATTAAAAGTATACATTTGCATACACAGAACGGACTTTATACATAGGTTTCATTTCTAGGTCACTCAAAATTATCTAGAACTTTGTCACCTGGGGAAAATGGAGGAATCAGTGAAGTCTTCTAGTCATGATTCAGGAGTAGAGAAGACATCATAGGTTTTTGTAGACTAAAGTGACTTAATACAGAAGATTAAAGGCATAAAAACTTTGGAGGAGCTGAAGAAATGAAGGTTAGGAAACCTTTAAACCATGGACAACGTCAACAGCACTAAAGGGCATGACGCACAGGAAGAGGAACAGTTCAACCATCATAATCATACCCTCTTCTACCAGGCCCACACTGCTGCCCGCTACCATCATAGACTCTATAATGGCTTGTGCTTCTCTTCTGCTTTCCAATATTCATGTAGTATTCCCCTTTGGGGGAATAGAACTCAAGGCTTTCCTGGTTGCAATTTAGGGAAAATATTAATTCTTAGGTTTTCAATTCCTAAGATATTGGGACATCATGGAAGACAAAATATAGTGTCCAGTTACAATCTGGCCATCTGGCAGTCTTGAGGGCTGGCTGCATGGTGTAATTAATTTGTGGACTCAATCTCATCCTCTCTAATGCCTTTTTCAGAGTTGCAGTGTTGCAAGTTGACTCTTTTTTTTTTTTTTGCCTTTTTCTCTTGTCATGGTCAATGTTAATAGTCAAGGTACTCTTTAAATTGCCCCATTAAAAAGCAGACTGAGGTGTAACTTATAAGTCAAAGTTACACTTGGTTCTCATGGAAGGTTAATTGGAATAGAGCAAGAAAAGATGAATACATCAAGATTTGAACAATGTGGTTTAAAAGCCACAGGATTAAAATCTAAATTTGGGTTTACTTCCTAGGAAATGGTGATATCTCAGGAAGAAAACAGTAGCAAAAGATAAAAAAGCACTTTTCTTTAAGAAATCAGAGCACTTAATACAAAGATAGTGGAAAATGTGAACAACCTTGTAATTTTATTTCATGGCATTAAACAGAGGTAAGAATTTTATTAAACAAGGGGTTCCTGAAGATTGACTTGGGAGGATTTATAAATGAAACTTGACAGACTATTGACCTTTTTCTGTCTCAATACACTGGACAGATACTCAGACACCATATGTTTTCTTGGATGCTGAAGAGATTACAAAAAGAATGGCCTGCAGGTTAAGACAATTCGCTACGTGTCATCTGTAATTCAATTTTTTTTTTTACACTTCAAGAATATGTAACCGAATGGAAGTATGTGAAAATTAAAATTACTACGTTATCTTGACAAGAAATAAAGGAATACAACAAGTCAATAATTATTTTTTATTTACATTTCCCCTTCTCATTGAAAGTAACAAAAATTGTTTAAAAAAATCACACACACGCACACACACACACACACACACACACACACACACCCCAAATATATGTAACCATCCAACATCACATTGCATTTAGCATAGCATCTGTTGGGAGGGAAAAAAAAGCTATTTTCTTACTGTAAGGTCGTGTAGGCTCCAGGGGGTACCTGTTGTGAGATCTTTCCTGTTCTCAGGTATAAGTAAGCCACAATCTTGTTTTGAGACTGCAATCGAGGAGCAAGAAACAAGGTGATTCAAGGGACATACTTGGGGTTGGGACTGCTGAATATTAAGTTGGAGCCAAATAACATCAGTCAAAATAGTCTACAATGATATCTGGTTACCATCAGACTTGACCATATGTAGGGTTATAACAACAGGATCTAGGGAAATAGAGAATATGTACTTTTATATTTGTTGAAGTAATAAGAAAGGTTTGACACTGAAAGACTGTTTCTGCCATTTGTTCCAGGAAAAATAATTTACTGGAAATAAAAACTTCCTACTACCAAAGACAGCCACATTTAAACACTTACCTCAGAGTTTTTGCCAAAGGTACATAAAGTCTCACAAATGGACAGATAGGGTGTACTTAACAACTCATAACCTCAAAAGCTACACAGGAATTATACAAATCTGGTTTATCTCCAAGATAAGGATTTTATATTTACTTCCTGGTGTTTAGTTTAAAGTCTGAAATTGGATGTAGGTTTTCCTTACTTATGAGAACCCTCACAAGAATTTTTTGCAATTGTCATTATCTTTCAAGACAACCTGAGATAGATAAGTATTAAGCTGTTTTTTTAAAAAAATATGGGCTCCCAATAAGCTATGTTTTTAATGAGTGTAATTAGGAAATAGGAGTGTTCTGATGGAGTAATATTTTTATATAAAACTTAGTTAAGCGTATACCTGAAGCAATTTTGCTACCAGTGCTATTCATTTGAACTGATAGAGTTACTATTTGCTATAGTTCGGATGTGTCTCCTCCAAATCCAGGAGTTGAAATGTAACAGTCCGTATGATAGTATGAAAGGGTGGACCATGAAGAGGTGACTAGGTCCTGCGGGCTTCTCATGAATGGGACTAGAACCCTTATAAAAGAGGCTTCAGGTAGCCTTCACACTCATCATTTGGCTCTTTTGTGGCTTTCCTCCTCCATTATGTGAGGTTACTATGCTCTACCCCTCCAAAGGATATACTAACAAAACACAGAGCACACCCTCCATCAGGTATTCAGACTTGTTGGTACCTTGATCTTGGACACTCCACCCTTGAGAACTGTAAGCAATAAATTTCTGTTCTTTGCAAAATAACCCAGTCTTAGGTATTTTGATAAAGCAATACCAAGATTAAGATTCTTATTAAATGCACTTTGGCCACCAGTATTACTCTTAAGGATACTGCATGCCTGTGCAACAGAATTATGTACTCTGCACAGAAAACTGATCGCTTTAAATTTACCTATGGTAATAACATCAGAGCAGTGGTTTGCTACTGGGATATATGGAGAGCAACTCAAAAATAGACATGATGAAAATAGTCCCTGACATGATTCAGGTAAACAATCCCATATGTCTGGGGTTTCAACAATGCTGCAGAAACTCAGGGAATCTTCCAGTGAGTAGCTGTCCATTTGACCTACTTAATAGGGGCAAACTATAAAATACTGAAGGTTTTTTGAACCGTTTCCTCAAGACAGTTTTCTACAGTTCTCCATCCACTCTTTTATTTCCTCCTTTGCATACACCGCCCTCCCCACAGAATTTTCTCCATTCTTTAATTTCATACAAACGAATATAGACTATTGTTTTGTCTCTGGCATTTTTATACAATATAACCATTTGGAGATTCTGCCATGCTGTTGTGTGTGTTACTAATTTGTTCTTTTTCAAATTCCTGGATCATTTTAAATTATATGAGAATACCACAATTTATGCATTTTCTTCTTCATAGATATTTGGGTTGTTACAAGTGTTTGGCTATTCTGGTTAAATTGGTTATGAAGATTCTTTCTCAGGTCTTATTGTGGAATTAGAGTTTCATGTCCCTTAATGATAGGTAGAAGACCGACACAAGCAGTGACAGCATGAGTCAGGAGATAATTCTGTGGACTGGGCCTACCTTGCTGACCCCCCACATACTTTCTTTTAAAAGAAATTTACCTAAGTCCATACTGGGCCTTCCCTGGCTTTAATCAATAGGATAGACTACATTTTTCAGCAAATAACCTGTTATCTGCAGAAAAAAATGTGGGCCCAAAGATTCCTCCCAGCTCATAAGAAGAATATAAGTTATCCTGAAGGGGCACTTGTGTAACCTTTACACAGACCTGATTCCAGGATTTGGAAGACAGCATGATTAGAAGCAAAACCCACCAACCATGAAGTCTGCAATAACAAGTTCCAATTAGGAAAGGTCAGT